TAATCACATGATGATCACATGATGATCACATGACGAACACATTCATCACATGATGATCACATGATGAACACATTCATCACATGATGATCACATGACGAACACATTCATCACATGATGATCACATTAATCACATGATGAACACATTAATCACATGATGATAACATTCATCACATGATGATCACATTACTCACATGATAATCACATGATGAACACATTCGTCACATGATGATCACATTCATCACATGATGATCACATCAATCACATGATGATCACATTAATCACATGACATGATGCATGCATGATTGTCCTAACACAATGCATGATCATCCAGTGTTGCAAAAACGTCACCAGGTCACGTGACCTTAAAAGATCGCCTGTGTCGTCACAGCTCTGCTCTGATTGGCTGAAGGCTTCAGTGACATGAGTATTTTAAAAACATCTGTTTCATCTAGAACAACAAATCAAAAGCTGGGAGATCGGTCGTTGTTCGTCACTGACGCTACGAGAAGTTAAACGTGACGTCAGAAGATCAGTCAGACCAAGTCGAACACATCTTTTAATCACATGATTTAATGACCGAAAGTTTATTGTGAAAAGTGTAACTGACCGGAAGTCATTCAACCAGTATGAGCTACATAACCTGAGCTAACAGGCTAACACAGCCTGTGTGTGTGTGTGTGTGTGTGTTACCTGCACGGCTCGGTGGCAGCTCGATAGAAACTCCTCCATCTCCCTTTAGCGGTTAGCGGTTAGCGGTTAGCAGTTAGCGGTTAGCAGTTAGCGGTTAGCAGTTAGCAGTTAGCAGTTAGCGGCTCCTGTCACTTCAACCTGAGCGTGAGTGTCGTTAACATGGCGGGTAAAAGGTCATGTCGCCTTCAGGGATACATTCAAACCTCGGACATACGAGAGTTTGGTGCTGCACGTTAAAAATGAGCTGGACAAGATTTAACAGCTACGTTCTTACAATTCAAATTATACTAAAACATATTCTTATTTTTTGAGTAAAGATTCAATCAGAAAGGTTGTACAATATCCGGAACAAAGTGAAGGAACATAACAATTTACAAATAAAGTAAAATACTAACTAAAACTGTGATGACATTACACTGCTGAAAACCAGTTTTCTTCATGTTGTAGTAACATGAAGAAATATTAGTTTATTTTAAAAATCATCAGATTGTAGTATGTTCATGTTTCAGTTTATATCACTGATGTGTTCACATGATTGTTTCTAACAGTCATTTCTTTGTCAGGTGTAACTATGAGTTGTTCTATGAGGTACAAAACTGGATTCTTTAGAAAAGTTCAATTTTATATATTATTACAGAAACTCAAAGTCAGGTCAAAAATATTTTACAGGTTTCATTGACCAATGTGTCATTTCAATGTTGTAAAAATAAAAGACATCTTGTTTATATGGTCCAAGTTGATTCTGTTAGGGTGAATGCAGCCAATTGTGGAGACAATGAACGCAAATGACAAATCTAATCTATATGTCAGATTCTGTTTCTGGCTCTAAAACACTTAAAGAGTCACCGTGTAAAGGGTCCTGTACCATTTCAATTGTAAAAAAAACTACTTTCCATCAGTCAGTGAAGGCATTCTGGGAAATGTAGTTGTTGATCATTTATTAAAAGGAATTAAACAGATAAACATCAGTTTTCACTCAGGTCAGTTCTGAGGTGTGTTTTTATTGGCTGTTCCAGAGTCAGCTGATCTCTGAGCTAAAACAACATTCATGTTCAGGTTCAAAATCTGATCTGAGCAGTTTTACATGTAAAAACTTAATTTTTCAATCAAAAGGATAAAAGCAGTTTTTATATTTCTCTTGTGAAGTTTGAATGTTCCAGTGTGATGTTTAGTTTCTGTTCATCCTCAGTAAAAAGAACATGTGACAGGATGTTGTTGCCTGTAATGAAGACTGCAGCCTGTTGGGGGTGCTGCTCTGACTTGACACAGACTGTTGAGTTGTGTCGGCTCGTCAGAGACGAGCAGAGACCAACGTCACTCAGGGACATTTAAACGCAGCATTAGAGACACTGTCAGGAGTAGCTGACCTCTGACCTCTGAGGACGATGCCTTCGCTGACTCAAACATGTTGTCTTTATGAATGACATCATCATATTCAGTCATCAGCTGTTTCCTCTTCCATGTGTTGAGAGCTCCGTTGACCTTTGACCCCAGAGACCAAGTCTAGATCTTCTCCACATAGTTTCCAGGAAACATTCCCTCTCTGGCTCGCAACCGGCCGAACCACCAACCAGACGGATCTGAGGACACACACATACACCTGAGGACGAATCCAAGACTGAGACAGATTCAGAGAACAAATCAGAGACAAGAGTACGAGTCCAACACCGAGTTAAAGTCCATGACAGAGTCAGAGACGAAGGATGAGTCTTTCACAGAGTTTGACACCAAGACTAAGTCAGAGCCTGGGGATGAGTCTGAGTACATGACCAATCTGAGACAGACCGAGACTTAGTCCAAGACAGAGCTCAGGACTTAGTGTGACACTGGGTCCAAGACCAATCTTAGACAGTCTGAGACCAAGGAAAAGTCTGAAATCGAGTCTGCAGATAGCAGTCTGACTTTAACTACGGACGACTAGTCTAAGAACTATCTAAGATGAGCCAGCCACCAGGAGGCGTCATGCTGACTATCTTTATTTACAGTCTGTTGTATGACGATGACATCATCAGTGTTGAAGCTGAGCTCGTCTGTGTCCTGGGCGTCGTAGGCGTACAGAGCTCTGCACTGAGGACACCGAGGCTTTGGTTTGGGAGCAGGTTTAGGTCGACCTGCTCCAGGAAGAGGCTTCACCTCCTTCGACCGGCGTCGCTGCAGCCTGCAGGCAACACACAGGTATTACACCACCATATTTATTCAGTGTAGCAGAGAGGGCCTGGAGAGCTTCTGGTCTGAACCAGACAGACTCCAGGTCACTTAAAACCTGAATAACATCTGATCTTAAGGGGATATTTAACCCGATTCCATTATGAGGATACAGGTGAGTCACAGTTCAGTGGGTCACTTCTGGTTATACTGGTTCTAACGTCCAGTAGTTTTACTGGATCAGTTACTGACCCTCACTGAAGACAAGGGTTATATCTGTTATATGAGTGGTTGTAGCAGTGATACCAGATTTGCACTGGTTAGTGGTGACCCTGGTTGTTCGGGTAACACCGGGTTGCTCCCAGAGGTCTCACCCTGCAGCGCCCTGTTCAGGGACGTCCATGAAGCCCATGTCGTATTGTTTGGGGGCATGGTGGCTGGGGCGGCGCTGGCTCTGGAAGCGGGGCAGACTGGGTTGCTCCATGCTGGACTGCTGCCTCAGCAGGGTGCCTCTAGAGGAGGTGGGACCTCTGGGCGCTCTGCCCCCTCTTGAGTGAGGCGCTAAGGAAAAAAATAATAATTCAGACCAACATTGAAAACATCGGGTGATGTCTTGTTTGGTTATTTCTTTCTCTAAATGGTACCTGAATTGTACTGATTGCTGTGTGGAGCCTGGTTACCCATGTAGCGGCTCTTTCGGTTGTCCTTCCTCGTCGGTCCTATGAATCAAACAGACAGGAAGTGACAAGGAGCAAACAAAACAATGTGACGATGACTGACTCATGTCAGAACTTACGTGAGTTCTTGGGCAGGCCTGGTCCAATGGACACCTGCAGCATCTTTCCACTGAGCTTCAGGACCGCCTCGTCCCCCTGACCCACCTGGAACTGGATCTGTCGGGATCCTGCAGAGCTGAACGGACCCCAGCCCCCCTTCTTCACCTTAAACTCCAGACTACAGAAAGTAAACATGTTTTATCAAATCAGTTTAAATTCTTTTGATCAAATTAGCGATTATTAGTCTGAAGTATTATTCACATTTTTATATTTCAGGTGAAGGGTTTAAATTAGTTCAGTTAGTTTTCAGTAAGTGAGTTGGTTTAAACTGTGACTCACAGGTTGTTGAATTTCAGTGGAAGCTTCCTCTCAGTTTTCTCATGAAAACGTTTGACAAGTAAACTGAGGAATTCCGTTTTAAAGATGCTCTGAAGAACGCTGTCATACTCTTCCTCATGAACGACGAAGAAATCATCCTGCAGAGAGCTGACAGACAGAGAGACGGAGACCGTTGTTTTGTTACATCTGAAGAATCAGTCACCTGTTACTTCAGTTGTGTTGGATTCTGCTTGAACTCTGTTTCCCCCTGAGACTCCACAAGTGTTTTGTGGACTCAAAAACTTCACTGATTCTACTTCTAGTCCCACTCGTGGTTCTCTTTGTGGTGTTGATGCTGGTTCTAGTTCTACCTATGATCTAATTCTGGTTTTGTACCTCAGTGAAACAGACTGGATCTTGTTGAGTTCGATCTTCCTCTTGAGAACTTCCTGGATCTGACCTTTATCTGGACCCTGTTTCACTTTCTCTCGACCAATCAGATACAGGAACTTTGGTGTTAGGATCAGGTCTCGTTTCACAGTCTGTGGGACAGAACCGAGAGTTCAGTTGGGCGTTGTGTCTGAAACAAAACCTACTCCGACTCTTCCTGAGTTTTTACCCTAAATCTTCGGTCGTATTTCACCACCACGTCAGCAAAGTCAATCCTCTCTCTGCGGCCGACGAACTGTCTGATCTCGGGATGGTTGTCTGTTCCAATGTAGTCACCCACAAAGTTCCTGTTGATGCTGTTACTGCGACGTTCCTTCTTGTTCAGCAGGACGTCGGACGCTGGAAGAAACCACTCATCACTTGTTAAAGAGAAAGATGCCGTCCAAACCTGTCAAGCCGATTCCTAGTCACATCTTAGACAACAGTCTTACCTTCCTCCCTCATCTTGACATACTTGCGGACAGCGATGTGTTTGCGCCACGCCTTTTGGATGACCCGAGCATAACCATTGTACTTCCTCTCTCTCATCTCCTCCAGCAGGAAGAGCTGCAGAGAGAATAACAGAAGCACTGAAACATTTCAAACTGAACAGTCTAGTTCAGGACAGTTCTGATGTTCTGGTTCTCATGTAGAACTTCAGCTCCTTCGTCTTGTCTTCATCATCAGGGACAATTGGAGGTTCAGTGTCTGGATCGTGGACAACTTGTTCTCTCTCCTGAGTCACAGCTTCTACTTTGAAACTTTACCATGGGATGAAACACTTCCTGTACACTAAAGTTTCATACCGACTCTGGAGCTTTGATGAAGACCTTGGTCTTGCCAAGCTGGAACTGGTCCTGGTCCATGTTCACACAGTGGAGGAGGTGCAGTACTCCTTGGCGCTCGTCACCCTTCCACCGAGGCCAGGTCTCTTTGGTCAGGATGGCGTACCTGCAGCACATTCATGTTTGTTGTTCTGTTACTGAGGAACGTTTCTCCCTTGTTGAGGGAACTGTTGTGTTTCTCTATAATTTATGTAAAGTGTCTTCACATAATGTGTGTTGGGATTTCATGATATACAGATAAAACTGAATTGAATCCCTGGGATTCTCTGGTAACATGTCCAGATCAAACTGGGCCCTTCTGACGATGAGCGTTATGAGGATAATAGGACCTCTGACCTCTGCAGGAACTTGTTGAAGACCCGTCTGTAAGCATATCCAGCCCGGCGGACCCGGATGTTTTCTCTGAGGCCCAAGTACTCCACTTGGTGTCGGACTCTGTTGTCCTCCCAGTCTCGAGGTCGTTTAGTCTCGTTGGGTTTGATGCAGCGGATGTAGTGAGGCGTGCACTTCATCAGGGTCTGGACCAGAGTGTTGGCTTGTTTCTGAAAGATAAGGGCAGCGTCGTGTTGTTGAACGTTAATGTATTAACTTTGAGTTGTATTATTTATTAATTAATCAATTCAGTTCTATCACACTCTCTCACCTTGATCTTGCTGCTGGCGGTGGACGGACGCCCTCTCTTCTCTGCCTCCAGGTTCTCAGGGAACAGAGCTCTGATGAACGGACTGAGCACAAACACAACACACACCAACTTGATCCGTCACAAGGTCTGAACCTTCACACAAAATGTCAGATATATCTTAACAGGACAAATCTCCAAATCTCCAAAGGACAGGTACGTCCCGCAGGACAGGTGCATCCCAATACTTACAATTCGCTGCTTTGCATCAGCTCTATGATGTCATTGAAGAGTACGTCTCTATTCCTCTCACAGAAACCGCTGACATCATATGACACCTGCAGAGATAGACGGACAGATTGACAGGTGAACAGGTAGAAATTTAAACAGGTAGACAGATAGAAATGTGAACAGGTAGACATGTGAACAGGTAGACAGGTGAACAGGTAGACAGATAGAAATGTGAACAGGTAGACATGTGAACAGGTAGACAGGTGAACAGGTAGACAGATAGAAATGTGAACAGGTAGACATGTGAACAGGTAGACAGGTGAACAGGTAGACAGATAGAAATGTGAACAGGTAGACATTTGAACAGGTAGACAAGTGAACAGGTAGACATTTGAACAGGTAGACATTTGAACAGGTAGACAGATAGACATGTGAACAGGTAGACATGTGAACAGGTAGACAGGTGAACAGGTAGACAGCTACCTTCCCAGCGTAGTGGTGAACCACGAACCCTCTGTTCCAGCTGCTGAAGTGTTGGTGAGTGCCGATCTGTCCCTGAAGTTTCTGTAGCAGCGTCTGATCTGCTCCTTCTCCTTTAGCGTGCATCGTAGCACAAACATCATCCAGGATACTCATGATCCCAAGAGGATTCTGGGAAATTATGAGAGGGTCACCATCAGTGTGATGATTAGAAGGCAATGTAAGAAATATTTAAAACTCCCTGACAAGCAACATTTTGTAAAATGGTTGGTCTAAGAACTTTTCAATTCAATTTATTTGCACATCATCAAATCATGATAAACATCAAGGTTCTTTACATATTAAGGTCGAGACTTTAAAGTTGTAGAGAAACCAACAGTTCAATTGAGCAGCTCTGACTCTTTAACTGGAAGAAAGACTCAACGTGGAGAGAGAGGTTCAGTATCTTGCCAAAGGACACTTTGGGCACAAGGGGGAGACGAGGGATCGAACCCCGACCCTCTTGTTAGTGGACAACTCGCTCAGCATATATAATATAAACCTTATTCTACAGTTGAGAAGACTTCATCTTCATCGGTGACCTTTCTGACCACAGTCTGTTCTATGATTGGCCGACTCACCAGTTTGGACTCGATGAGGTCACACACCACTTTATTGTTAAAATACTCGATGGGCGTCCATTTGATTCCCTCCTGAACATATTCCTCCTACAGACAGAAAAAAACAGGCGACATAGAGGAGATCAAATGATTGACAGAACAGTCAAAGATGTGTGTGTTTGTATAATGATGTCACCATGGGTCACCTGTTCGGCCTTTAGTGTGAGTTCAATAAAAATCTGCTGCAGCTTCTCGTTGACAAAGTTAATGCAGAACTGTTCAAAGCCGTTTTTCTGAAAGACGTCACAAAACTAAAATTAGATCACAATAATATAATATAAATAACATCAGTCACTACCTGTTCTCACCAGCAGAAGTCAACACCCCAACAGATTTCACTTTCATCCTCTACCAGAATTGATTTCCTAAATTTCCCAGAATGCTGTTCATTGACCCTAAAGGCAGGAACTTCTATCTACCAGTGTTATATTCTACTTTCTCTCTTTGTACGAGCCGATCATTGTAAGAACAATTTAATAACCAGATGAGTTGTAGTCAGATCAGCCCTAAAGGCCGTGGTTAAGTTAGCGCAGGTTCAGAGTAATTCGGCCTAGATTAACTGTTAATACTAACTTGGTTTGTATTAACTTGGTTTAGATTAACTCGGTCAAGATTAACTAGGTTTATATTAACTGGGTTTAGATTAACTCGGTCAAGATTAACTGGGTTTGGATTAAGGGCTAGTAAATTCATGTAGCAGGTGAACCAGTGAAGTATGAAAGTTGTAAATACCTGGAAGATCTCAAAGCCGTAGATGTCGAGCACGCCGATGTTCAGGTCTTCCTGGTCCTTCTGAATGGCTTTATTAACGCACTGACACACACACACACACATAAATAAAACAATAAAGTGACGTGTAAAATGACAGGAGTATGAAATTGGACGTAAAGTGAGAGCAGAGAGTTAAACTGACGTCGACAAGGAAGTCGAAGAGTCGGGCGTACAGAGCTTTGGACAGAGCGTCTCTGGAGAAATACGCCTGCTCCGTGTTCAGCGTGACGGAGATTGACTCGGTCTTCCCGCCCCACTTACTGTCCATAATCCTGCTGGTCAGTTTACTGCAAAGACCGTCCTGATGGATCCCCAAAAGAAAGGACGGGAACGCCAGGACTGAGAGACAGGGACAGAGAGACACAGTAACATTAGATCATATGATTGCAAGAACACAAGAATATGAGATCATGAGAACATGAAAACAGGAGAACATGAGAAGAGGAGAACAGAAGAACATGAGAACATGAGAACATGAGAACAGAAGAACATGAGAAGAGGAGAACAGAAGAACATGAGAACAGAAGAACATGAGATCATAAGTAGAGGAGAACAGAAGAACAGGAGAACAGGAGGGACAGAGAGACACTGTAACATTAGATCATAAGAACAGAAGAACATGAGAACATAAGAAGAGGAGAACAAGAGAAGAGGAGAACAGAAGAACAGAAGAACTTGAGAACAGGAGAACATGAGAACAG